TCATTTCCTTGGTTTCCTTGATTTCCTTGGTTTCCTTGGATTCCTTGTTGTCCCCATTGTTCGACGATATTTTCAAAGAGTCGGATTTTTGCTCCCTCCCTACGTACCTTGGAAAAGATAATGGTTGCGTGTTAAAATAACGACGGTTCGATGTACAAGATGTCGTTACGCCGGATGCGTGCTCGCGTGTTCTTCACGGACTCGTTTGTTCGTCGTTACGTTCGTTGAGTGCCTCTTACTTTTCTCGAATCGTTTACAAGTCGGTCTTAACCCACTTGCGCTCGAAATTACTCGCGGTACGATATTTAAATAAATCCGAGCTATACGATCAACCTTGCTTTTATATCAAACACGATATAAAAGAGTAAGGGAGGAAAAAAATATACGAAACATGGCAATTATTTAGCACGGTAATACAGGTTTGATGGTAATAAGCGTGACTATGGAGGACGAGTACCACGAAATCATATCCAACAAGTACCATTTTTTTTCTCCATGTAGAACGGTAATTTTGTGTAATTAACGTGGAAGATAAGAACGAGACACAAATGGAACGTCTATGGCAAGAACGAGTTGAAACAGACCTGAAAGTACGTCACAAGTACGTCTTCTAATCTACCACTACCGTTTGATCATCCGCGATTGACATACGTACCGTTACGGGAACATTCATTTCCGTTACGTTAGTCGGTGAAACGCACGAGTTAATCAAGTATATTGGTTAATTCATCGTAACAGGCAATTTGCGAGAAATTATAGCGAACACGGAATGGACCGTTGATCGAATAATTAAAGAAAAAGAATCTCGATAATGGTTTTGGCGACATTTGTCTCGAATTGCATGAATTATTCATTATACGAAAGAATTACGAATCGCGTATGCAAGATGTATAGCTAGCTGCCTTCAAATTTATAATTTCCTGATGCGCAGTCAATTTTGTACGTGATGAATTTAAGATGAATCGTGCGGATAGTGTGACGACGGTAAGAAAAATCGATGTCAGCTGCTAGAATTCCCATTTGGGGATCTTCACGCTTCTTGCCATTCACGGTAATTTAATTCGATTGAATACAGGATAAATATTTGAGAAATTTGTCAAATGATTTCGAAAGTATTCGATGTAATTTCCCTCTGTAATTTGCAAATGCGTCATCGCATCTGTTTTTTCAAAAGATAAATTAGTACAGATACATATATATATATGTTAATTAGAACGATAAAAAAAGTTTTCGCGTAATAAGAACAAAATCGATTCTCCAACGTAAAATATTTTTATTTCGGAAGGATAAAATTGCAAGAAAATGATTTTACGCGATTAATTCGAAATTTCTTATCACGTCTAGTTTAGTTTCTAGTTTTATATAAATATTGTTACTCACTTTTGAAACTTGTCGATCAAAGAGGGTGATACGTATAGGTTACTGGAAGCTGTGAATTTTTTTCGACGACGCTTAGGAACCTTTGTCGTCGGTTTCACTTGAGATTTATGATACGACGACATATCGATACGATATATTTTCCTTCGAAATGAATTTATTTCATTAGCCAATTATTACCGTTACTAGTGAAATTTCCCGAACGTTGATATTTCCTTGTTTCTGGTACACGTCATCATTCTACAAATCAACTCTCGTTCGAGGTAATAATATTTCGAATAGAGAAGCTTCTCGAGGGAGAGGGGGGATACGAAGTCATGGTTACGAGATTAATCCCGGGAAAAACGCGTAGCGGGAACGTTTTAACGGAATTAGATTGGTAGGTGGTACGTTGCAATCGTTTTAATGGGAACTACATCGATAAGGGGGTTATTTTATTTCCACGTCACAAACACCCGTGTACCCGTGACCGCAATTAACCAAAGAACAGTCTCGAATCAGATTCACGATCGATATCGAAGAGATCGTAATTTTATTCTGAATTACGAGGTAAAACTGTTATCTAAGAAGATATTATCGCAAAAGTACAGACGTATCTTTTTACCATTCCGAATATACACGTATATATATATATATATATTCTCGATTCTTTTTTGTCCTCTCCGTCTAATTTATACCCGACTCTTCTTCAACCCGGTTTTTTTCCAGCCGTATCGTAACAAATTATCCGTGAAAAAGAAAGCGAGGGAGTAAGGAAGAGGAGAGAGAGGACCGTATAGGGGCAAATATGTTAATAAGTGTTTCTTTGCGGTTGGGAGCACGCGTCGCTCGGATTCTCGAGACAAAAAGACAGGAGGCGAGATCGTAAAGCACGTTGTCTCGTTTTTATGACGCGTCGAGAAAGCGGCATGGAACGGCGGTTGGTCAGTCTACTAACGAGGGAGGGGAAAGAAAAGAGGCGACGAGGGTGCGGAGAATGGAACGGTTGGACGGAAACCTCGTGTTGTGCGGAGTCGAATGTATCGTGGTTTAAAAAAAAAAAAAAAAGGAAAAAAAGAAAAAAAAAAAGAGGGGATAGAAACGGGCCCGCTTATTTACGATCGAAAAGAGCGAAGGCACCGGGCTCGATTTCGTGCACGGCGCGAGAAAAGGGAGCAAAACCGCGTCGTCGCCGCGCGATGCATATCTTATGCACGTGCCCATTGGTCCTGACTCGGCTACAAAATTATTTACTGCCGACTGCATCGAGAAATGCTAAATATTTCAAGGGTTCAAAAGGCCTTGCACGAGCCCTCCCTCCTATTCTTACGTAGATTTTTTTTCCCCTTCCCCTCCCTTTTCTTGAGATTTCGCCAGAAACAGAATCGAGTTCGATCGTGATTTCTCAGAAGTTTAGTATTTCTTATTGTTGATTCAGGGGAATAACGTTTTTCACCGTGGAAACAGCTATCGTAACTGTTTTTCCTTTGAGGATAAAGCCGAGTTCGAATGAGTCGAGTCGAGATTTCTTTACGTGTTATTTCGTTGATTTGAAAATATCCTTTGAATTTTCTACGCCTGTTCTATTAGTCAAGTTATTTGACTTGTCACGTCCCTTGAATCGAAGTAATTTGAAACATTTTGCCAGTGCGAATCTGTTACTTTGCTTTACTTGAATGCAATAACAGTTACCGGGTGATTTAACGTTATTTCCAACTTATTTATAATGGTTCTTTAAACCAAGTTGACGTTTATGACATTCCCGTTCAATATTAAGAAAATTATATTTACATTTTTATACCGTCCTTTCACTGTTAAGCTAATTTAACAAAATTCCAGACATATCGAAGTGTTTTTCCAATCGTTATTTTTCTAACGTCATTTTTTTTTTTTTTTTTTTAGGTATCCGTTGCTCGAATTAATCAAATCATCAGAGTTTGAATTTAATGGCATGTTTCGTGGCCTCATTTTTCATATCTTTCCTATCGTTACGTAAAACCGCCTGCGACGACCGCGTGGAAGAATTGGATTTACACATAAAGGGCGTGTTTGCATAAAAGATATCATCGTACGTAACATGCTCGTTATTTCCTGTTATCATGTCGGCGAGTGTCTAATCGCTTTGGCGCCGCCTGCAACCCAACTGGTCCTGAATATACATGGGCGTAAAAATTGCTTAGACAACAGATTAATCGATAAATCTCTTTCCGACTCTTAAAAATGTCAATCTCTCGAAAGACTGGAACGATGGGTCTTTTGATCAAGGATGGAATTCCTTGATCGAACCACTCCTAGTAACGCGATGAAAAAGAAATGATACCTGATACGATTGGATCCCTTTTGAATTCATTCGTCGAAAAAAGTATAAATAGTAAATTCGTTCTTTTTTATCCAACTCGAACTTTAATTAAACTTCCTCCTCGTGTTTTTCATCCCTACGGTATATTCTTACCGTATTTCTACGCTTGATGCATTGTGAATGTTCTTCCATCGACATCTGTTCGAGTAGCTCTTTTTTTATCGTGGGCCATGCGTGAAGAACAGGGAAAAGAAACGAAGTACCGCGTTGTTCTACGTTTATGAAAATGACTTGTGTCAACAGATAGCATTTCGGAGAAGAGTGATTCGTTCCAGCGTACGTTCAAAGGGAAGCGTGTTAGCGCAGACGTGTTATCGTGGTTTTCTGGTAATCCGAGGATACACGAAGATATTTTTGAAACGGAAAATACAGCAGAAATATCGAGACGTGTTCGATGTTAAGACAGGTGTGATACCGAATTCGAGAGATTTCGCATCGACTAATATAGAATCACATCGGAAAACAAGATACGTACTCGTAGACGATATCACTCGCAATAAAGACATCGTTGAATTCTGTGTCGCGCTCATAATTTATGTTTCGAGTGCAACGGCATCCTCGACTCGGTTATGCACAACGACTGTATACATCCTGATACGAACATGCTCTGTGGGAAACGGCTCGGCCTTCCTTTCGTACGTTACAAAGTATATTGCGTATAGTTATATATCGGTTAATACAGATGAGCGTTATAGCTTCCTCGATGTAACGAGTATCAAAGTGCATAAATATGGATTTTTTTTCTTTCTTTCTCTTTCTCTTCGGAGAATACATTTTTTAAACGTCGGAAGATTGCAAGAAAATATTTCACTTTGCCTTTTCGTAATTTAAGAATTATTATTAGATAGATAAAACATAGAATAGGAAAAATTGTGGAAGGTATTTCTTTTAAAGAAAAATGTTTTAATGAATTTTAATGCGAAAAGGATTCTACGATTAAAATAAAAGGAAAATAAATATTTGAGTAGAATTTCTCGAGATTCGGTTCTCGAGAAATCGCAGACGGAATTATTTTACCGGAGGGAAGTGACACTTGCTGCATGTATGTACAAGATAAAATGCACGCGGGAATGCATCTACAAAAGTCAACGAAGACCTGTGTTTACCGATCTTAATTAGGGATAAAACGAAAGGGTTGAAAATGGTAGGGTCGCGAGTTGACAAGAATCGGCTTTTCGAATCCAACTTCGGGCATCTTCGGTGGTCACCGACACTCTTCGTACTACTCTTAACTCGTGCTCCCGCTGCCTCCACTCAGTCGTTGACGCGCGCTCGTTTCGTTTGGTTCGGATATTAATGGTGCTTCAACATTCACAAGAGAACTTCACGGTCCAAATTCAATATAAAGGAGATTGTGCTTGACCTGCATTTCATTCAGAAATAACATCGTCGCGTGCAGCATGTGCACGATCGCGAGGTAAGACCATTTATCTTTAAAAACGCGCAATCTTTCGTTTCGAACGAGAAACATTTTATAATCTTTGTTTCGTTTTTCTTTTTTTTTTCGTAGAATATTTCTTTAACACGTTACTCTTTCGATATCGAATATTTTTCAGTTCAGGTGGTTCATTCCTCGATAAGATGTCGGATTTTCTTTAGACTTGGATGGAATAAAAATGTTCCAGAACAACGTGGAACGTTCTCAGGTTCTATAGGCTATCTGTAAAATATCTAAAGGATTCCCCGTTGCTCGAGGAAACGACAAATCGGACCACTTCCTGTCTCGATCTTTCAAATTTCCTTTGACTCACGGTCGTGGTGGCTCGATAAGATACGTTTCATCATTTTTTTTTCCACGTATTTCAATCGTCGACTGGATATCGCGTGCTCTCTTTCCAAACTCTAAGTCACGAACTCGCCGTGTACGTGACGCGTTGTCAAACAGTTAGTAACTCCAAGTTCATTCATTCGATGGTGTGGTGGGATGTCGAGGGAGGAGGAGTAGTTTTCTCTTGTCGAGCAGGAAATATCGAAAATCCATAATGGCAGGCTAGCGTAATAAATCCGAGAGAGACACTCTCGTTGCGTTTTTTCTCCTCGGTCGATTTAAACACCGTAGTTAATAGTCGATCTTTGCTCTTGTTTGATCATCGAGATATTGATTGCCTCGTCCGGTCGTGTTTGGGACGGCTCTCTTCTCTCCCCTTTTCTCTCCCTTTCCCTTCTCCTCTTTTTTTTTTTCTTTTTCAATTTTATTCGCCAAGAATAGAGAGCAGCAAGTTGGAGAAAACAGTGGCAAATATTTGGGGATAGACTGTTCTCGATTGAATTTGTTGTAGGCCACGGCGAACGGTGCCCGTAGCCTTCTATCCCAGCACGGTCAATATTGACTCTGGCTCGAGCCAAAGCCCATCGTAATAAATTATTGACTTCATGGAAGCGGAGTAGAAGCACGAAGGTCCTGCGGTGATCTGCATTAATCGTTACGTATCCTCCTTTATGGCGATACTATTTGCTGTAAGCCTAGGAAATTACACGCGACCCGTAAATCATTTTTATGGCGGGATTATCGTCATCGCGCAGGACGAGGCCGTCACCAATATATTGACAGCGGCACGAGATTGATCGTGGAGTGTATAAATATTGTGCGCGTATATACGTTTCATATTTCCAAAATTAACTCGTAACGTTATCGTACCATCGATCTTTTCGCGGAAACAAAATTTACGAGAATTTATATCTTCTAATATTATCCTTGCGACTTTTTTAATCTTTCCAATTTTCTATTCACCAACTATTTTTTCCATTCGTCGTAGCGTTCGCGCGTTGAATTCGCGATCGTAAATTCAATTCATGGCGGAATGATTAACGAGACACGGAATATACGTTGAATATCGAAATAGCTCGTCCCTCGTAATTGGCAGCTGAATGAAAATTCCATGCGTTCGATCGAGGCTCGTGGAGAGCGTCGGAAACAGGTCGGTGGAATTTTCATAAGTGTATCGTAATTCAAGGTTCAAGGCTTGGAGGTGTAAGTGCACTGTGCACTTTTCTGTTAGTTGGTCGGCACTCGATACGCGATTCGGAGGGGTCGCCCACGCAGCGAGACACGCACACCGGTGCCTCCTCCGTGTGTCGGCGATTTACGGTAAGGGCACCGTCTGCTTTGTGTGTTAGTCACCGACCGTAGGGGGTGAAAGAGACTGGCAGGAGGGGAAGGAAAAAAAGAAGGAGAGAAAGAAAAGGTGGCACACGCACACACGATCGAACGCGTTAACACGTCTATTGTGGTTGGAATTCTCATTATCTTCGATATACGATCGTGTGCACGCTAACAAATAATTTTCGTACCACGCTAACAATTGGATTAGGTCATCGTGTGCTTGTTTGAAGCGAAGTTGAAGAAGAAGTATTACTTCATCGAAAGAATTACTAAAAATCTTCTTTTTGATCGTGATTCTATTTTTTATTATTATTACCATTATTATTTGACACGATTTATCCAAATAGACTCCTCCCTTCGATGAGGTTGTAATAAATTTTCCACCAATTAATTCTTCTTCGCGATTGTTCCCACTCGATTTTTACCGCAAAGTATGGATTAAATCCATCGTTCGCATTGGATTTTAATGTTTCCTCTTGCACGTATATTTTCCCATTATGCTCGAAGGCATACTAGCATTGTTGTCGTCGTGGATCATCGGAGAGAGAGTAAGTCGTTCTCTCGATTCTCGTCCCACGATCCGCTTTCTCGCGTGACGATTTTCTTAATTACGCTTAAGCAACCTTGTTAGCCAGGTGAATCGATTTCAAGGCTATCATTGCAAGAAGAATAACCGGCGCTTTGGTAATTGATTGGAAAAAGAAGGGAGAGACGGATAATTGCGGTTAAAGGTGGGAATCGTCGACTCGTTAGAGTTGGCGATAAACGAGGTGGTGTTTGTCCACTCCATTTGCAATAACTCGTTCTATACTTGGTCCGTTCGGATCACGGATACGTAGGATGCGAACGTACAATTATCAGAAGTCGATCGTTGATCGAGTGTTCCACGCTATCAAGTAAGATTGTTACCCTTGTTGCGTACGGAACAAAGTAGCCGGTAACGACGAGTAATCTAACCGACGAATTACACGCGTTCTCGTCCGTCTATCGAGCACGATAATCCCTTCGATCAGGCATCCCTAAGAGCGTCCGTTAAGACGTTAAATTCCTCGAATGGGTTAGCGCAGCGAGAAGAGAGAACGTAAGAACGATAAACATACGATGTTAATCATTCATCGATCCTCGTTGGCGCGGTTCTTTTCTTTTTTCTCTCTCTCTCTCTCTTTCTCTTTCTCTCCCTCTCGCGAACGTATTTACCAAAGGTACGGTAAAAGAAAAGGAATAGTTGACGGGTGTAAAAATAACACGATCTTCGAAACGCTTGCTCGTACGTGTTTGCTCGCACCGAGTACAACAACCATTTCCAGGCGGCAAGTCTATTTGTCGAGAGACCCTCGTTCCCCGTTCTCGTATAGGAAAGGAGGATCGAGAGAAGAGAGAGAACGAAGGGTGGCAGAGTTCGATTCGGACACGCGATATATTACGTGCTCGGCACGTATGCTTCGTACATAAGTGGACATAGGCATAAATAGCGACGCGCGATGCGTGTGCACAACTGTATATGTGTGCACGCATATTGCCGGAGAAAGAAAGTATCGGCGGGGACGAAATGAACGAGAGAGGAAGAAAGAAATGAAAGAGAGAGAGAGAGAGAGAGAGAGAGAGAGAGAGAGAGAGGTATCGAGTAACGCGAGCATACACGTTTTAACGATTTCTGATGTTTCTAATTCTTCTATTTCTTCTGACTCACCTTCCTGGTTCAAAGGAGTCGAAAGAGCGAGAAGAGTCCCTCTCGAGGTTGTAAACGGGCTTTAGTGGTCTTACCCTTTGATTCTCGGAACCGTTCTCCCCTTTGCCGATTCTTTTTCTCGGCTAGAGTCAACCGGCGAACGTGCGCAGCTTCTTCTCCTCCTCGAGCTATTAGCATGCAGAGGAGACGCGTCTCTTCGCGTCGGTTCGAAAGAACGCAGGAGGAGGAGGAGAAGGATGATGACGACGATAATGATGATCGGGCTATTGTGGGCATAATCGGTGGATATATCGTATTCAGAGGGGAATGTCGGGATCATTGGAGGATTTATCGCGGTGATTGCGCGGGAGGAATTTCTTCGTTACGGACGTTAAGTATTACTCGAGATCGAGAAAGCGACCCGAACATTGCCACTCGTGTTTCTTTGAGAGAAACTAACGGCCACCTTTAGAACGTCTCCTGACACGGTAATTCCCTCGTTCCCATGAACCCGAGTCGAGCAGTGATTAGTGCCAATTAGGCTAAAGTAAACCGGGTAGTGTATGCTTCGAAACGGCATGATGATACGAGTAAAGCAGCGTTTCGGTACGAAACGAATCGCAAATAACAGGCTGGGGCTGCGATTCCTGCTACCTTGCTACGATAGAAAAACTAGTTCCACGTATTGCGAGAATTGCTTTTCTTTTAAAAGAAATTTAATAAAATATCCTTTTTTCTTCTTTTTTTTTTTTTTTTTACATCCATCGCTGAGAAAGTTGTGACGTAATAGTGCACGTATTGAAAAGTTTAATTTAAATTTTAACTTAGATTTATCTGCATGCAAATAACGTGGAAAGTAGAAAAATCAAATCGAGAAACGGCACACGAACTTGGTAAAGATTTATGGTAATCGGAACTTTTCCTCTCTTCGAATAGGATTAGCGTCGAAATATCCGTCTGCGATAAAATGGTGGATGGAATCGGTCGTTAGACTTTTATTTCACGATTAAATTTTATTTTTCATCGCGAAAACGTGCAACTGTGAAAATATATATACACACACATACATACATACGAGAGTATCGGGAAACGTGAGAAAAAAGATAACAGGAATTCAATACCAAAGCTCGATAGACCGTAAATACACGCATTTTTCTCACGGTTGTGCTCGCCATCGCATATTCGATATTCGTAGTTTATCAAACCAGGCACGATTTTCTTCTTTTCACACACGATTCGATTTTACACGCACACCGACCCGTATGGGCGTGATCGTGCCACGTGATTCGAAAAATCGTAGAGACTTGGATCCAAGGTATGGTTACGGTACACAGCATCCTTGGGCGAATATAGTGACATAATAGGCAAACGTCCAGGCCGATGCACCGTTATGCAGAATGGTGCTGAGGTCAAAGAGCCGGCGCGAATGGGAGGGAAGGAGCGGAGACTGGGATGCGTTCGGAGTGCATCGGATATGCTCGTTCGGCTGGTTCGCTCATGAATATTTGAAGAGCCGAGAGATCACGAGATACCGTGAAGTGCGTTTCAACAAAATTTCGCGCCGCGAAACAAAGCTTCTCGATCGTGAGAGATTCTTCCTAGACCGGATTCCAAAGCTTCCTTACACGCGCTCGAGTTAATTTGG